TAAGAAAAGAGAAAAAAAAAAGAAAAAGAAAACAAGCAAACAAAACTATTATAAACAGAAGAATAAAGAAAAAAAACAACAACAACAACACACTAAGAGCAAAGAAACAAAGGAAAGGACACAAACCCAAACAAATCCAAACAAGAGATTTAAAGCGAAGGAAAATTAAAAGAAAAAATAGAAAACATGCATAAATAGTTCTTTAATGAGAGAATTAAAACAAAAACAAAACAAAAAACAAAAAACGAAACAATAAGGCTGTACTGCATGGCAGGTCAACCGTTTATTTGTACGGGATTTGTTTTATTCCATTCTCCTTTTAGGGGTGACAATTTTGACCCCTGCCATTTTCAAGTGAGTGACTTAGGCGGTTACGTCAGATCTTATTCTCCTATGGCTCACGTTTTCTGAGGTTTTTGTTTTTGTTTTTGTTTTTTTTGGTTGCTTGGGAAAGCGAAGAATTTCAACGCGTTTAATCCATCAGCAAACAAACCAAACAAACTCTGCCGTCATCTATGTACACTTCATAGGGAATACATCGATTCAATTATTGGAGAACAGGAACGTCGATATTTTAATTGACATCGACAAGTACGTTTTGTTGTTCGCCGGACGCGCTTGTCTGGCCTTGTCTCTTGTCACAACCTTTAGAAACAAACGAATTTCGCTGTCGATCTGAGAGATTATCAAGAGAACGTGGAAATCATTACAACACGGTAAGAATCCAAGGAGATCGCTGTCGGCGCAGGGTAAGCATTTATATGATGTTGATTTGATGATGCGTAAAATTATATCTCGGTATTATGATGCACTAAGGTATTTAGTCAACTTGTAAAAATGTTCAAGTTCGTTTCCAAGTTCACATAATGTACTTGGTGTACCTTTTCAGTGGACGTATGTTTAAGTCGAGCACAGTTAGATACCTGGGCTTCCAAACAGCTTAACAAAATAATACTTTGCTTGCAAACTAGTTATTATTACTGCCTATTTTCATTCAGTCGTCGAACTAAGTTATTTTGTAAGAGCGAGTCACCAAACCGGCCTACAGTTGGAGAACGTGACAGCAAAGGTGACTGTGGCAGTGGCGTAGGAGGAAATATTTTTGTTTGCTATTAAACTGCACGAATAAAACCCTGACCGAAATACCGTAAAAATCAGTACCGACTACTGACAGCTGCGAATAAAGACTATAAAACATTTCAAAGTATGGTTAGTCAAATAACAACACGAAAACTCATTTCTCTTCAATAGCCCTTGGATACAATTTTGTACGGGAAATTGCATGCGTGTCTCTTTCTTTTAAGAGTTCGACTAGTTCTTATACGAATTACTGAACGAAAGCGAAAAAAAAAAAAGTCAAAACAAAACAAAACAAGCTTTGGATTGGCTCCTTGAGCGGCGACAAAACTGGCTCGATGCCTCCCCTGTAAGGGAAATTGCGATGCCAAATGCGACTTAAATCCCGGGACGTATAAAGGTCGCGCAGTTGAAAGTCATATTTGCAGTGCTAAGTGCTTTTAGATACTAAAGTGGGTCTAATTCCAAACGCGGCAAGAATTGGCCCTAATCAGCGTCGTGGATAATATTTGAGTACCTGTTTTTTTTATTTTGTCACTTGAAGGCAAGTCTCAAGTCTTTGACTTAACATCATCTTGCGCATTTTATTAGGTTCACTCCAGCTATTCTATTCTCATTGGAAAGAACGTTGAATATAATTAGAAAGAATTTCTTATCGAAAACCGTGTCGGTATTCTACATGGAATTCAGTTTGACGACATTGGATATCTTGTTTTCTTTGCAAGTGTCAGACGTGTGACCTATTGCATGCGAAAGGCAATTGTTATTTTATTACTTTAAACGAATGCCATCAAAAAGGGAGCAATACTCTTAACCGATGAATAGAATTCTTTACACCTAAAAAAATGTGGTAATGTTTGGCAAATAAATTAGTTAGGTAGCATTGGAATGCCATTCAAATCATTCCGTAGTTTTTACCAACTTTAAAACACTTTTAATTCTTAATGGCACGTTTGTCGAGATAGAGTACTTGAAGTTAAAGTTATTAGATTTAACAAATTCGAAGTCTTTCCGGTCAGTACAAATAATTGAGTTGTACAAAATCTATAGATGGCAAATTTGTTTTATGTCAACAAACTAAACTTTTCACCAGTACCCTTTTAATTGTGTTTATTTAAGGATGTAATCATAGAGGCGATAATTGAGAAACTTGATCAGCATTGTTATTAAGATCACTTCAGCTAGAGTTGACTTTATGTTATTTATATCCATCGTGATTCTTATAGATAACTCTATAGAGGAACTGTCTTCACAAATCTGATCGGGTGCACGGAACACCACAATGGCATTTCTACGGAACACGAAGGAACTCTTGTCCCATCGCAGAGAAGCAAGCTTGCTTAGTTTACTGGTTCAAGTGACCTTTGTTGTGTATCAAGCCTCTTGCGAGACTGGTAAGTGGATGTCCAACTGGACGAAATGTAGAGCTTTCTGAACACTGCTCTCCATTCGAAATCTGTTAGAAGACAAAATTCATCGGTAGCTGCATAGAACATCTCCCTGTGCCCTTGACAATTCCGACCATCCGTGTAATACTGGTGCAGTCGGTTCGAAAAGCTGCCGACTACGGACATTCAAAATAGTTAATTATGCAACCGGAAAATTGATACCTTGTAATTTTAGTTTTCTGTGAACTACCTGCACAAAGAGAAATCACTTTGTTTTGAATAACTGACAAAACGTTCGCTCTCGCGAAGGACAAAGTATTGGTCGTCTAGCTGTATTATGTCGGCAAAATGCATTGCTAAACAAACTAATGCTTCTATATAGTCTAACGCTCAGAAACAAAATACTGCTAGGGGTTTGATAGGAAATTAGAAGATTTGGCTTCAGGTACGGACAAAGTTTCATAGTAAATAGGATGCTTTAAATTATGAGCCTTAACGTTCTCAGGTGTGATTAGAATTTAACTACCCAGTTAGGTTTCCTGAAGTAATGCTGGTGCTATGATAGAAAAGCACGGAACGTGCTGCTGCATGACTTACTGTTCGAACTTGAAACTACCAGAGCTTCGCCTTTATCTTATCTGTAAAATTATTTATCTCCGGGCATCTGGTTAAATATATCAAGCAGATTACTGTCACTTATAACTTCTCATCGCAACAAAAGCTACCAGATATCAATCGATCTCTAGGCCTCGACTAGTATGCGTAGCAAGCGTAGAGAGCAAATGAAAACGCGAGAAGGAGATGGGATAAAAATCTCAATTGGGACAAATGGAGTGGGCAGTTGAGTCGGGAGGAAAAAGAAAAGTTGATTTTTCGGCCAAAATATATATTTTTTGGCACATGTATGTTTTAGAAGATTGTATAGTTGAAGGGCCTTTGCATACTATCCCGGAAACTAGAAAAAAAAATGAGGCATATTGCATATTACTATTTATTAGAATAATTAACTGCAAATTTCTTATACAATTCAGGTGGTAAATATGTGAAAAAAAAGAAAGAACTCGAACAAATACGCTAGCTTTCCTCGTAAAATCAAATTCCCTCCCAGCGAGTCCGTTCTTCCAATAGAGGAAACGGGCCTAACGTCACATGTGTCTTGCCCTTCAGTGATTTTGGATCATCATTCCCGATATGATCAGTCATGGGATTGGCTGACTACCTATGAACTGGCGTCTGGTAGCGGGGTAAGTCACTTGGAATAGCTGGTTATTAATTTACCTTCTACTGAGGTCAGGTTAATATAATAAAACAAATAAGCAAATTGCGGCTTCCTTTCGCGGTTTCGTGGAGCGGATACTAATTACTACCGCTAGGACACCATGTGTCGTGACTTATGAAAACGAAAGAATGACAATAAAAAAAGAGAAAAAATGAAAACAAACAAAAAAACAAACAAAAAAACAAACAAACAAACAAACAACAACAAAAAAGGAGCACTTCTCTATTCCTTAAGGAAGGTCGTCAGTGAGCAGAGTTCTATTTCTTTTTTCCTGTATACTAAAGGTGGTTATTCAGGATTCGTAACTAACGCAGTTCTGAAAAAAAATAAAAAATAAAAAAATAAGAAAGAAAGAATTAGATTAATAAAATTTTAAATAAGGTAAATAAATTAAGGTAAGTCTGAATAATACTTCCCCTCATCTGCGTTGTGACTCGCGCTTTCTTTAGACAAGAAACAAACTGGAACGCTTTTCATTTCGATATATAGCATCATGATCATTGCTGTTTCATTTATTTTTTATCTCAGTGGACTCGCAGTTCCCAGACGGGTGAGTACCTGGTATGCGACCTAGTAGAGACGGCAACGAAAAGTACCAATAGTTGGTTGATATCAAATTTTATTGACTTGCAAGGCGCTGTATCAGTGTCTGTTAAAGTTGAGTTCACTGCAAGGCAATGCGACTCGCAATCATTGCCATTCTGTAGGCAATCTTTCAAGATATTTTTCTATCAAACCGACCACATGATCATCGCTGGGGTGCAAAAGGCAATGATTGTAGCAGAACAGTTTACATTAGCTGGAGAAATGAACGCCAATAATCTGTGGAATCTAGGTCAGAGAAGAATAACGAACAAAGCCAGCTTGGAGTTTGGTATACAAAGTAAAGGACTTTACTTAGGATTTCAGGACGTTGGCGGGTGCATTGCACTAGGGAAAGTTCAACTCTCTTCGAACTTTTGTCCTGGTCAAATAACTGAAGGGGTAAGTTACAACCGAACACCTTCTCCACCCACTGGGAATTCAACGAAAGTATACGGCACGTGTTCACTAAACTCGGAGAGTTTACACCATGTGAACTCGCTGTACACGGAGTGCCTCAGCAATGGAAGTTGGAGTAAGCCGGCAAGTGTCTTGACATGTTTGTGTAAACCTGGGTATCAAACCACTTCTAAAGGATGTCAAGGTAAGTTCCAATTTACAATATCGCCGGTCAATAGTTTCGTTTCTTTTAGCGAGCAGACAACCGATGAATAGATAGACAGATGAATAAGCAGGTGCAGTTTGACAAAACGACAATCAGGCAGATCAACAGGTCAACTGGCAGACGGACAGATGGACAGAAAGAGGACAGACAGACAGAGTAGTCAGAAAGACAGACAGACAAACAGACAGACAGACGGACGGAGGGATGAATGAACGGACAGACGGAGTGACCAACGAATCGAACGAATAACGAACGCCCGAACGAAGAAACTATTGAACGAACGAACGAATGACTGACTGACTGACTGACCGACTGACTGACCTACTGACTGTCTTGACTGACTGACTGACTGACTGAATGATTGACTGAATGACTAAATGAATGAATGAATGAATGAATGAATGAATGAATGGATGCATGGATGGATGGGTGCATGGATGAATGAATGGATGGATGGATAAATGGATGAACGGATGTATGGATGGTGGATGTATGGATGGATGGTTGGATGGATGGATGAGTGAGTGAGTGGGTGAGTGAGTGAGTGAACAAAAGAATGAATGACAGACAGACGGTGACTTTGTCCACATTTATCGATCGCTTAACTTTCGATCTTATTTAATTTTTATTTCTGATAGAATGTCCCAGTGGAACGTATAAAGGTAGTCTTAGCAATTCAGCCTGCAGTGTCTGTCCTGCGAACTCAAACTCCAACAATTCCAGACATCACTGCGAATGCAACTCAGGATTTTATCGAGGGCCGTCGGACAACAAGGAAGGGAAATGTACAGGTATTTTAGAATGGCAATAATATGTAAGCTCGTTTTAAAATAATAATAATAATAATAATAATGATAATAATAATAAAATAAAACGAAATAAAAGATCCTCGATTAGTTCACGCTCATACGTGCCTCTATTTTTTGTATTTCATTAACGTCTTCTGAGTATCAGTAACTAAACAGAACAGTGATGAAACGGAATTGTTTTTTTTTAAATAGCAATGTCAATAGGAANTGACTGACTGACTGACTGACTGAATGATTGACTGAATGACTAAATGAATGAATAAATGAATGAATGAATGAATGAATGAATGGATGCATGGATGGATGGATGAATGAATGAATGAATGAATGAATGAATGAATGGGTGGATCAATGGATGAACGGATGTATGGATGGTGGATGTATGGATGGATGGTTGGATGGATGGATGGATGAGTGGAGTGGGTGAGTGACTGAGTGACCAAAAGAATGAATGACAGACAGACGGTGACTTTGTCCACATTTATCGATCGCTTAACTTTCGATCTTGTTTAATTTTTATTTCTGATAGAATGTCCCCGTGGAACGTATAAAGGTAGTCTTAGCAATTCAGCCTGCAGTGTCTGTCCTGCGAACTCAAACTCCAACAATTCCAGACATCACTGCGAATGCAACTCAGGATTTTATCGAGGGCCGTCGGACAACAAGGAAGGGAAATGTACAGGTATTTTAGAATGGCAATAATATGTAAGCTCGTTTTAAAATAATAATAATAATAATAATAATGATAATAATAATAAAATAAAACGAAATAAAAGATCCTCGATTAGTTCACGCTCATACGTGCCTCTATTTTTTGTATTTCATTAACGTCTTCTGAGTATCAGTAACTAAACAGAACAGTGATGAAACGGAATTGTTTTTTTTTAAATAGCAATGTCAATAGGAAGACAAACCAAAAAACAAAAAAAATACAAAAGGAAACAGTAATGTGTTCCTCGGCAAATCTTTTGGCAGAAACACAAACATATAATAAAAAAAAAAACCTCTCCATTGGCGGGTACTCTATTGAAGCCATATGGTCTATGACAAACTTAACACATTAACCCAAAGAAAAGGAGTTTCTCGGATATTTTGTATCTGGGTGTCCTAACGAAGTAATATGTAATGTTTTAATAGCGATGAATAGAAAGGAGTGTACCAGATTGACGGTAACGTTTTATTTAAAAAGGGGCTCCACAACTGCTTATGGATAGTGAGCAACTGTCTTTGGTCGGCAGAACATTCCTCTTTTGCTCCTTATATATAATCCCATAAATAAACGTTATGTCTCGGAATTTCTCTTCAGCACCACCATCTGCTCCACGAAATTTATCAGTAATATTCCAAGACCAATCTGTGATCGTAGTTGCTTGGCTAGCGCCGTCGGACAGTGGGGGAAGGGATGACGTTGTCTATGACGTCAACTGTTTTCAATGCGATGCCAGCCCAGACTGCAGCTACAGAAAGCCATGTAATGGAAAATTGGAGTTCTGGCCACTGAAATTCAACAATCCCTACACACACGTCACAGTGACAGCATTACAGCCAAACGCGTCATACTTCTTAAGGGTTACTGCTGAAAATGGAGTGAGTCATCTGTATGGACCCAACTCCAACAGAAACGCCGAAATTCAGTTTGGGACAAAAATCTCAGGTACAGATGGAGTATTCATTCTTTCTCCCTCTCTCTCCTTCTCCCCTTCAACTCTCCCGTCCTCCCACTCTCCCATCCTCCTACTCCCCCGCCCTCCCTTTCTCCGTCTTCCCACTCTCCATCCTTCCTTCCTTCCTTCCTTCCTTCCTTCCCTCCTTCCTTCCTTCCTTCCTCCTCCCTTTATATCTCCTCCCTTAATTCCTTTAGCCACTGCCTCTCCTTGACGTTGAATAAGTTTATTTGTTTGTGGGACCATTTATACTGACTTATTGTTTGATTTGCTATTGTTGTTGAAGCTAAAATGCTGTTGGATAAAACTTATGTAGACGATGCCACAGCTGTTCTTACATGGCGAGCAGTGGACAATCCTCGGGAATTTTCAACCTACGATCGTTATCAAATCTCCTGCTTCAAATGCGAAGACGGGGAAGGCAGTGTTAGTCACCACTGTACAGGGACATGCGGTCATCGAATTCGGTTCTGGCCGGGAAGAGAAGGCCTGAAGGACAATCACGTGACTGTATCGGAACTAGAGTCATCGACGCTGTACAAATTTGTGCTATATGTATGGAAATATCAGACTGCTTTGTCGTCAGTGCTTGTCAAAACCAGTGATTCTCCGGTCAAGTCTCCAGGTAAGATGACCTAGATGTTTCCAGTTATTTGATTAAAAGGTAAATCCCACACAACCATATTGTCTGCCGAGAATTCCACAACGCATCATAAACAGAACTGAACATGGAATTAAGATCCTCTTTACACCTTTTTTTCAGGCTGGTGTTAGTGTAGTACATGAATTTCCTGAATCTTTTCAAAAGCTGTTCACAGTATGACAATATGTAACTACAACAACCATTTGCTTTGATTTTTCGATCTTGCTCCAAATGTCCTCAATTAAGGACATTAAGTGGACAAACAAATAAAACCCCATTTAACTGGCGCATGAATAGAGGCCACAGATGCAATGCAAACTCTAAGCATGATGTTAGCATTTCATAGATATATCATTTTGGATTTAAAAAATAAAATAAATTACTGATTAAACTAAAAACAACAAAAACAAAACAAATAAACAAAAACAAACAAACAAAAAACAATTAAACACAGAAAAAAAGTTTTAAATGTAAATTGCCTTAGACTCTTTAGCATCTAATTCTTTAAAACTAATGTCAGAAGTGCAACAGGAACTAAAATTAAGCAATTTGCGGTTATTTTCTTGAAGAACGACCAAATTTAGGAAACTTACATCGCAAAAATTAATTACATGGCCGCAATTAGTCACATAATAATTTCGCCCTTTTGACTTTAATGGGTTAAACGACCAGCACCCATAAATGAACACGACAGGTCTAAAATTTGCTCAAACAAAAGATTAGGCTGAGCTACGTATCGTAGAGGGGTGATGAACTTTTCTGTGTGTCTTTTCTCACTCAGATGAAGAAAAGGCCGACATGTCTAAACTTCTATTCACCACGCCAATCCTCGTTGCCATGGGAATAAGTGGGATGATGCTTATTATTGCCCTTGTTTCTTTAACGGTTTCCATTTACAAGCGACGGCGATGGAACAAAACATCACTGGACGGCATTGTTTCGACTCGATAAAATGAGTATTGAAGAAGAATTAAACTGAAGATAAATAAATCCGAGAGATAAGTCTCACTCTGGTTATGGCATGAATTCTTAAAACAATATATCTAACGTAAATTTAACAACAAGGGTGATACTAACACGAAATTAACTTTGGCTGTTCTCATGGAATTACGAAAAAAATAATAAAAATAGTGGAAGGGAATACTGTATGATCTTCTAGAACATAAACAGCGACAGAAGTGTGAGGGTATCCATACAAATAAATTTTACTCTCATATCACTTCACATCATATCACTCCGACTGATATTAGAGCTCATACATCATATTTACTCTAGTAAGTGTTCAGGTGGTTTATTTCATTTTCTCTAATTAAGAACTCCCATGATCTAACCGGCTTATATATCTTACAACCCTTCTTCTTTACTTTAAATTTCATCTTGACGTCTTTCTGGAAGCAGGGTGGGTTACTATTTCAGTCATTTTATGACTGAGAAAACTACTTCATTGTGATTGGCTTTGAGCAGACAAATTTACCGTTCAAGTTTAATTAAAAGATTAGGGATTTAAACTACTTGTGATATTGGAAAATTCTTTCAAACTGCACTCGCCTTAAGGCTGGTGCAATTTTGAGAGAATTTTCAAATGCAACTCGTTCAGGTTAACAAGGCCGGGATATCTCCTCTGCTGACTAAACTTACAATTTAAAATCACAACAGTGATACCACGGTGTTTTCTTTAACAGAACAAGTTTTCAACGTTCCAACCATTATTGCCATGGTTTTAGCGGGAATACTGTTTATCTGCGCTGTGATTATATTGCTGGTTTCTTTTCACCTCAAGAGACGATGGTATGGCACTGCCAAGAAACAGACCATGGATAGTGGTGCAAACGACAGCCCTCACTCGGCAGAAAATACCGATAACACCATTATTATGGAAGAAATCCTGCAAGAATTTGGTCACACTATAAGTTCAAACGGAAACCGCACGCAGTGATCGATATAGTTCTTTGTGTAAAAATATGCAAATATTGACTCTTAAGCCCCTGAGACATCAACAAACGTTAGTGCCCCATTTCCTTTTTGAAAGATGCCTGTAGTGAGTCATAGTGGTTGCCTTAAACGTAACATTCATGGGGCCCAGCAGTGTCATAGTCTGGTCTTTAAATGGAGTATTTTAGTCGCGAAGACCTGAAAGGGTCGAAATATTTAACTGGTAAAATGATCCTCCGAGAAAGTTCTCACAAAACAGATACTATGAAGCACAGAGGCAAAGACAAACACTGAAAAAGTAAATGCTAGCTGCTGACAATCCCGTGAAAGATTTTGAGGGCCAGCGCTAATATCTATCTTTATTTTTGACAGAACATATTTTTTATTCCGTTTCGCCCATTAAGGTGATTCCTCACACACGAGCTCGACAGCGAAATAAATGCTAGTTTTCCCTTAATCGAGCAAGGTGACCTATATATTTCATTTAATATTTTTCCCTTAAAAACTGTCATCATCATAACTAACTAACTAATTGTATAACTAACTAAATAAATAAATAAACAAATAAATAAATAAATAAATAAATGAATGAAAATACAGAAGGAAAAAAGCTATACCTAAAAGAGTACATTAGACCGTCACTCGAGAAGAGTAGTTATGACATTGGAAAAAGCGACTCGAGGAACGCTTTGAATCGATGTACTGTGTCATTTACATTGTGTAATTTCTTCATTGATTATTCACAGTAAATTATTCCATATGCTCTGGACTTACAACATATCAAGTCTTTTTTCAAGTATTACATAATAAACTTTCCTTCCAGTTACCTCAAGATGTTACGTGAACCGATAAAATAATGTGTGTAGTACCAGTAAAGGAAGAATTGGCCCATCATATCTCTTTTGCGAGCATGGTGATCTACACGTATCTCTTTTATTGTATTTTTCGAAACAGTGTTTGGTAAGGTGTATGGAAAATTAAAAAAAAAAGAAGAATCGTTCGACAGCTTTGATTTTTGAGGAATCACCTTAAGAAGTTACCCGTAAAACCGCACGGCGTGCTTTCCTAACTATACAACTTGGGACAAATTTTATTGGAAGTCTCTTGAATGTGAAGGAAATGATACTCCTAAGGAGTGAGTTTATTTATAATATTGCAAACATGTAATTAAAATGTGGATTCTAGTTATCTACTGGCCCTCGTTTGTATCGTGTTTTAGCATCATTTACCCTATTCAAACTTGTTTTTCTTTTCTTTTTTCTTTTTCTTTCTTTTTTTTTTGTATTTAATTAACAAATTAGTTAATTGTCACCTCTGCGCCCACTTTTGCAACCTGTATCAGAATCTACTAACGAAAATTTGCGGTCACTGAGGGTGGTTTAAGTGTTGTGACCCAGGCACCTATCATTGACTCACTGATTGCCTGATCGCTCGATTAATTGATTGATTGATTGATCGATCGATCGATCGATCTTCTACGGCCGGGAAGTGGATTAGTCGATTTCGCCCCCATTCCCACTGTTTTTCCACTTTTGTAACTGATCAAAATGTATTGACAAAAATGGGGTTCCCTGAGGTTATCCAGGCACCATAATGGAACTATCTGATGTCTGAAATTATTTTCTGTGTACGCAATTTCCTCCAGATTAAACCAAAATAACCCCCAAATAATTTTTAATCAAAATGAATGAAATCAATAGAAAATAGTATTAAGGTAATACTGACTAAAAATAACTATAATAGAAGATGGATATAGATAATTGCAAACAAGAACGTTTTAAAAATATTCCTGTACTTTGGCTCCTTTAAAATTATTTTTTACAAAGTTTTGCAAAGTCCCTAAACATTTCCTCAGTTTCTGTTTAACCTATTAACAAACTAACACCTCTGTCTTGGATATCTCTGTAATCCCCGTAATTCTGTAAGTATCAATATATTAATACTAAATTTGCCTTTGCAATTTTATAAACTTCCCTATTTTTCCTTATTCTGCCTCGTTTCTTCCCAGAACATCTTTTAAAGGGGCAATACATAAAACCTTGGGGTATAATTTTGAAATTACTTTGTTTTTTCTGTCAGCCACGGGCTCATATCACCCGAAGTCTCCATCTCCCTTAATCTTTGAGTCAACGTTTTCGCGAATCTTGTTTTGATAGTTTTAGAGAAAGAAAAAGCAAAAGATACGGCAAGTGTTTACAGTATACGGGCAGTGGGCTCCTGCGTCAGCCTACTATTTATCAATTAGACTACCAGATTCAAATTTTATTGGTTGCTACGTGAAGGTCCAAGTCAATTATACAAGTCGATACAAAACTGAGCAGTCTAATTGTTGACAATAAAAATATGGTTATATTTCAGCTGGATCGTATTACAGTAGGCAACTTGTCCAGCTTGTCATGCGTTTTAGAGAAAAAGACAATTCTGAGTCTCCGACGGGAGCCGATCGGCGTCCTGACCTCTTTGCGCATTTCGAAGACCAAATATCTGAAATTCCTTTTTCACTAGATGTCGTCGTCAGCGTTGCCGTCCTTGTCGCTTAAGCTCCCTAATAACATCTAGCTCACTTAGATTTTTCCTCAGTCCTAATTTTTAGACGATGAATAAACTGTGTATGAAGTCAGCAACAATCCAAGATATCGGATGGATGTTTCTTTTTCGCAGTGTTTATTCTGATTATTTTAATAGATGTGTAAATTGATCACAAAGGATGTATTAAAAATTATGGCCGCATACGGTGATGCGAACGAGCAACTACTTCTTTGTTTCTACTCATGTTTAATTCGTTATTTTTTAGTTCTTGATATTCACTTCTGGAAATTATACTAAAACAATATTATTCGCCTCAGGCTCAGTGAACATGATACAATTAATTACTAGTACAGTGCTAACCGTTTCCCCAGTCGACCAGTAATTTAGTTTTCTGTTATAAAGGAAGCAGTTATTTACAAGTGTTACCCAGTTAAAGTAGATTTAGTGCATCTTGAATTTCTTTCCCTAAAAGGTTTGCATGATATAAAGCAACTCTGAGGACAATTAATCCAGTCTTCACTTTATTTCGTCTCCAGCATTAATGAAAGAAGTATCAAGAGTGGAAATACACTAAACACGAAGTTCCGATATAAAAGTTACCTGACTATTTGCACATGGCATCACTTTTCAATCAATCACTAAAGAGGAAAAAGCTGTCAAAAAATCTTTGTTGTGTGTACCACAGTTACTGATAAAAGAGTTTCTTCTCTTGGAATAATATTCTGGTGAAATATAAGCAAATTATGTCAGTGGCATATCTGTATTTCGGTTTCATGAGACTTTAAATTAAAGCATGTTCAAATCGGGCTTGACAACACAACGCACGAGCAAATCGAAATGTGAGAGGAAGCACCTTGCTTAAATATCATAAGATTGTATAAATATATTGTTTTTTATTATTATTGACTTCACTCAATTATTATTCACTTGATACATTAGTCTGAAAGCATTGCATGGCTTCTTAGATGTTCCGCTGATTGTCTGTGCTACATATGAAACATTTTGTACTAATGGCAAAAATAGAAGGTTCTTTTTCCCCTTTTAGAAATGTTAATAGGAGGGCTTAGTTAATTTCCGGACTGCGCCAGGTTTTAACGTTGAGATACGTTTCTTGTTTGCCTGTGATTTGCCATGGATTTTAAACGCAATTCTATTGCTGACAATACAATTAAAATTATTTATTTTAAGTCAGAGATAAATCTAAGTGGTATTCTAATTTTAGTCACCTGCGAAGTGAAGTACGCGTCTGGTAAATCATGTAATTAAAGGTAAAACAACAGCTGCTATCCATTTTTATTTCCCTGGCTTGGGTACCGCTGTATAACATTTTCGAGCGCGACTTTCAGTGCATAATACTTTATAAAACTCCTATATGTGTATTTGCACTTCGACTTTATTGAAAACAAATAAATAAATAAATAAATAAAAATGAAAACTAAAGTGCGAAATGGTGCTCACATAGACTCCTCTGAGGTTAGCTGCTACAGCTGTAAACATTATTTTACCGATATTTGAATCTACTAATATAGGTTCAAGGGTGATCTTCTTTGGGGTGATCTGGATCAGAGTCGATCGTTGATCCAAAATTATTCACATCATGATACATCAAAGTAATCGATGAATCCACTCTGGTCGTGGATTCATCATGATCACCTACTTTGATGTACCATGATCCGAGTGATCTTGTATCATTTAGCCTGATCCAGGTCACCCTAAAGGAACGTTCCCTATCAGATATATGTTCAGAATTCTACTTGTTAATTCATCTTTAATTTAAATTTCGTTGTTTTATGTATTTACACGTATCTTGTTGAAAATATTCTTAAGTTGTTTTCTCTCCCGTATCGTTTTTGATTATTTTCAGCATATTTCTGAAAACCACGCTGTGAGAGGGTTTTTACGATATTAATGCCTATACATTATATTTATCGGAGGAGCAGTCTTAAATCACGCTTGCCATTTTCTCATCGCTTCTTCAACGAAGGGCCCTTACTGGATCATTTGTTATGTCTACGTTTTCTACAGAATACTTAGGATAACAGTATTCATGAAAAAGAGAGAGTAAAATGCAACTTAAACATCATTCATTTTTGATGAATCCAAAGGTTCTGTTTTGGTCTAATAACATTTTCAGTTGGCAAGTTAAAAGATATTTCTTTTAACTTATACAATCCATGAAGTTTACACCTACAACTGACTCGGCAATAATTTCGGAAACTGAAACACAAGAATTTAAACGGCAGAGACTCCCGCGACAGTGTTTAATTTGAAGCGCATAGCTGAATCAATCAATCATATTATTAATGGTCATATTTTTACAATTATTATTTTTTTACTTTGTACATCTTCTAGGCTACATATGCGATTGTACCCAGTTTATCTTGGTTTTCTATAGTAGCACCTTAGACAATGCCTTCAGCGACAACACGATCTCAACAAGCGTTTATAACCCTTTCGAAACTTTTCATTGAAAACTGCGTACAAACATGGGTTTAGGGCGCTGTTGCTATGCGCCAGAAAAAGGCGCCAAAATCTCAAATTGCACGGTAACGGGTCAAACACGATTTGCCCGGTAAAATATGTCAACCAACAGAAGACAAAAGCTGCAGTGACCGTCAGCAACATGTAAATAACTTTTTTGCTTGCCTTCCCGCGTCTTCTCTGCACCAGTTTGGCTATTTCCTTGTCAGAAGGCGTTTTGTATCGTCGCAAAGTGATTACTATGACGGTATACGAAGCTAAGATAAGAACGAAGGGAAGAGCATAGAACGCGACTAACAGAAACGTATAGTATATTTCCCGTGCGTTGCTGTTCTTGAAAGTTCTTTTCATGTTAGCGTCGCAAGAAAATTCACTTCTGGATGTGTGGAATACAACCTTAAGTGATAGAAAGTAAGGAAACCGAACGGCCATGGCTAAAACCCAGATGAACGCAATCACAAGTTTCGATGATTTAACAGTGAACAGTTCCAGTTTTAAAGGAAAGACGATTGCAAAAAATCTATCGATGGCAAGAGTTAGTAATGTAAGAATTGAAACCAAAATACTAACGCCGTGAAGATAAGGAACAACTTTGCACAGCACTGAGCCAAATATGCCCTCTACCAGCCAGTCTGTTCCCCGTAACCAGATGACAATTACTCGCGGCATATAAACCAATGTGATATTCAAGTCGGTAGCAGCCAGGTTGACTATGAAACAGTGGAAAGTTCTCCGCATAGTCTTATTGCGCCACACTACCATGATTGTCATGGAGTTCCCCAGGGCTGATATCAGAATTATCACACAGTAAACAACAACTCTGGCAGCTCGGGTGGCCGTAGTGTCGTTATAGAAGCAAGCACTCGAATAAGACTCGTCTGCCGTTCCATTATTAAGGCTTCTCGCGCTAGTGACATAAGAAGTGTTGTTGAATTCAAAGTGGCCCATGATAAGTCAATAGGTTCCTTCCAGAAAATGATGCTCGACTGTGTCTCCCGCTAGGAAACGTTCAATTTGGCGTAAATTTATGAGCGAACGCAAAATAGTGTGTTGCATTTTTAACGAGGTAATCTTTCAAAAATGGATAAACCCCTGACGTGTAAACTATAATGACTTGATTTGTTTGCACGTGCATTTTACTAAGATGAATTCGTTACTTGAAGTAAGTTCCTGTTGTCGTTATCTTGTTTACAAACGAGTGGAAATAAATTAAACTAATGCCAATATCTTTTCGCATGAAAAGAAGAAATCCCACGGGAGAGTAAACAGTGACGTATTCCGCGACAGAAAAATATTGCTTGAGAACTGTACCTTCTTGCTTTGGGCATGCAGCAAATATTCGACTTGTATAAATTTCTGACAAAGTTTGCGTGATCACAATTGTCATTTCGTCGTGCGATAAGTTGCTGGTCTCACTTTTCAAACAAGCACACATGTGATGCCTAATGTGGTCGACATATTAGAAAAAATTTCATTAATTTTGTACACACGGACATTTACCTTTTTTATCAACTTAGCCTTTGTTCTTTGTTTCGTGCTCTTTGCGTTGGTAATTATTTTAATTTCTTTCTTTTATTTTCATAAACTTTTCCGATTTCATTGGTATTCAACGGAAATTGCACTTAACACCGGCCTCCCATCCATCTTNCCATTTT